TTATGGATAAAATCTAAGTAGTAACTGGACCAGATATAATAATTGACATATACAATGAAAATTAAAAGAAACATTATTCATCTCCATGGAATGGATAGAAACTACACAGCTTATAAATGTAAAACATCTTGCTGATGGAGGTTGTGCATCTATTTATACTGCTATATGGGTTGATGGTTATCCGCGTACATCTAAAGGACTAAGACTACGAAGAGGACCAGTTAAAGTAGCGATCAAACCTGTTAATATTTATTATTGTAGAGAGGAAGCAAAATCAATGGCATTAATGGAGGTATAATTTTAACATTCAACTTATTATCATAACATTATAATTTTATTATATTTTGACCTTGAATTTTTCGGTTCGAAAGATTTATTGTTATTTTGTGCTAGCATATGATATGAACCATTTACGTGTAGCCGAGGTTTTCGGACTTACGCTAATCCAAACTGAACGTAAATTCATACCAGAAGTAGGTGAATTTCAATCAGGCCAATATGCTTTAGTTATGGAATTTTTCGAAAATGGAAACTTGAGAAACTTTCTTAAGTGCCATAATTTAACTTGGATAGAACGCTTTCAAATGCTAGCATGGCTGGGTGCTTCAATTTCTGGAGTGCACGAGTCTGACATTATTCACGGAGATATACATAGTGGCAATATTTTAGTTACAAAAATGGGATCTGCGTGGATTCTAAAACTTTCTGACTTTGGCCTGAGCAAAGCCAATGTACTCACAAATAATGTAAAAGGAATATATGGTGTTTTACCATATCTAGCACCAGAGCTCCTTAAAGGCCAACAGCCATCCAAAGCAACCGATATATATGCTTTTGGTATGATCATGTGGGAACTTTCAACTGGAAAGCAACCATTCAGTGATTATACTTGTGAAGATTCAGAATTGATGCTAAATATATGTAATGGGGTACGCCCGTTAATACCTGAAGGAACACCAGAAGCTTGGACGATTATAATGCAGAGGTGCTGGCATGATGATCCTGCATGGCGCCCAAGTGCTAAAGAATTAAGAGATGTTCTCGCTAAACTTTTAAATCCTAAAGTTTATGTAGCATGTCAAGAGGCAGATGAGTTCAGGAAGAAAAACCCGGAACCGATTTTAGAAGAACAAACTATTCACACGAGCAAATACCATTCATATATCGCCGATTCTAAACATGAAATGTCACATGAT